CAAGCACAGCCTCATTCAATCATGCTGATGTGATTTGTTTCGCCTTATTCAGAAACTGCCTCCCCTTCAATCCAAGTCCAAGATGGACAGGGCAAAAAAGATAGGGTAGCCAAGGCATCTCTTGTCAGTTCTCTTTATGTCAAGATTTATAGTGTTTGGGGGTATCACTGCTGGATTCAGAAGTGTTTTGTCACCTACAAATTGGCCAAACGGGCGACTGTGTTAATCCCATTTCAGTCAAGTGCCACCTATTCCATATTTACAACTACGTGCATAATGCTGTGTCACAAGGTAATGTTCCATTCTACAAAGGTAAGAACACATACGGCCCAAAACTGGAGTAATGATGGAAATTCACACTGACAATGGATGGAAGTGACTACTGCCAAAACAAACTTGAGCATGCAAGCAGATTGGATTAACTCTCAGGTTATAGAGAGCTAGGTAGTGCATTACGCAGCATGTCCTTCCTTTAAAAGGGGTCTCAGACTCAAGTAAGCAAGTGGTTGAAATGTACCAAGTCTTTCATGATTGGATCCCAAATGTATCTCTCACCACAGTCTCTCTGATATCTTCTATTACCACTGCCTCAAAGAAGTCCCTCGGCACAACTTGCATCCTCCTGCCTTTACCTAAGATGTACCCTCCTCCAGGCAACCTTCCCTTTCTTCCTGTCAGTCTTGTGCATTGTTAAGGGCCCTGGTCACATAACACCTCCTCCATAAGATCTTCCTAAATTTCCAATCCCTGAATGTAACCAATCTCCACCTTTTCTTTTTCACTTTTACATAACCTGTCACAGCTCTTACCTTAATCTGACTTGTTCTAGATTTAGTTCCGAAGATGCTTATCTCTACAGCTAATTTATCATGTGTCATGGAGAAGCAGGGGCCATGTCTTACTCAATTTTGTTCAATCCCCACATCTGGTAGGCAACAAGAGATCGTTATGATAGGAAAAGGGAGGTATACTGCTTCAGCAGGATAAACTGTTCTCAAATATATCACCCTCATTTAGGGAGAACCCCATGGTATATTGATTAACACAGCTGTGTTGATTCTTCCTCAGGCTAGTTACATTTTTTATTTATTTCTAGGAAAGCACCAAGGCCTAGCAGCTACTGCCCCACCCTTCCCCCATCACACCCAGGACCACCATGAAGAATTATCCCCTAGGGAGCCCCGCCCTAGAGTGCCTGTCCCTAAACAGCCATCTCCAGGAATGAGAGACTCCACCACTTCCTCCCATTGTTTACTCCCAACTTTGATAACCTCAACTGTCAGAAATCTTCCTGCTCAAACATCTTCACACTTAGATATTTTCTCACCTTCTCAGTACAAATGTTGGTTCATCAAAAACAGTGAATAAACTGTTGCAATTTTTCATATTTTGAATTTTCTCTTCCTTGGGGCAAAAACAGGAGGGAGGCCCAGCCTCCTAAAAATGGACTTTTTATCCAGCGTTTTCACGTTAGGATGTGTGACTCATGTGTTATGTGAAAGATCTATGCAATAAAAGGAGGAAGGAAAAAATACTAGTGACAAGAAAACTTAGACACAAAATTGACCCCGCAAAGCCAGTTGTCCAGTGGTAGGCTTTATAACTGAAGAATTGTATGGGAACATGGAAATTATAAAATGGGGGAAAACAGAAATTGAGAACTGGAATGGCAAAGGCAGAAAGATCTGCAAAATATGTCTTTCTCAATATAACACTCCCAGCAGAGAAAGAATTAAGCCTCAAATGTGAGAAACCACTCTCAAACTATTTATTTTGACTCATCTAATTACCCATATTCTGTGATGTATTGGGGTCACAGTTCAGTTGAACATGTACATGAGCTATTAATGGTAATAGAACTGCATTCATTACGGCCCCTAGACACCAATCACCAGGTCTGTAAAGGTGGATTGTGATCCAAATGATTTAAACTTTCAGTATTTTTATTTACAAGAGATTGTGCTTCCTAGAAATTTATCTCCAAGGCAATTACAGGAATATATGCATACATACAGATTCACTGTAAAGAAGAGGAGAAGTTGAAGAAATTACATTAGTTATTTATTCACTGGGCCAAAATAAACACCATTATTTAAAATTGTGAGCAGTGCCTAGCTAAATACCACACACATGAATGTCCATAGCAGGTGATATCAATTCTCAAACTAATCCATAAGGGTCCCCTTCACCAAATTATCTACTACTAAAGCTAAGAATTTGTTGATCAGGATGTGCTGTGTTGTTTTTTTTTTTAATTCATGCTCAGAAGAAAATAGTAAGGTTCATCAGTTCTCATGGTCTTGAATTTCCAATATACTTCCACTGTCCTTGAGGCCACTCTTTCTTGACCAGAATTCTGGCTCTGTCACTTAGGAGCTGTGTGCCTTTGGACAAGTTGTCTAACTTCTCTGTGTCTGTTATCTCATCCATAAAATGAGGATTAAAAAAAATATGTCTCATTAGGTTGTCATTAAAATTAAAATAGTTAATACATATGACCTGATTAAACTAGGGTCAAAAGCATTTGTACTCTATAATGTCGGCTGATTTTGAGGGGATGATGGAGACAAAGCGTTAGGGTCAGTTTACACTCTCCTTTTGTGGTTTCAAGTAGCCATTATAATTAAAGTCGGAAGTGGGTGTTGACCCTTACATTTTTTCACCTTTCTTTCCCTTCCTAGATAGTATTCAATGCCTTATTTTAAACATAATTTATATACCAAAGTGTTCACATGTAATTTTCAAGAAAGTAACTTCACCACTTTTCTCAAAATGTGAGACAATCAAGTTACATCTTCAACAACCTCTATGTTACAGAAACGCTGAAACTATCCATAGTGCAGAGATAGTAAAAGATTCAGGAAAGGTTCCCAACCTTTGAGGATGACATAGAGGAAAGAAACAGTGCCGTTTCCTCAACAGGCCCCTGGGCTGCTCCTGGGTCCAGGCCAGGGACTCCATGCCATCATTACATGATATTGCATTTATATTTTCTTAATGCAGGCAATAGCTGGCATATGGAATCTATATCATGTTATACATAATAGAATAAAATATTTGCCATGTATACAAAAAAGTATTTGTAGATATTCATTTGATAATACCTTAAACTTCAGTATTTATCACTGACCAAAAAAAAAGAAAAATCCCAAAACAACCAAAACTAAAACCCTATATCATTTTTGTAATTACACTGAGGTGTATATTTCCAATGGGTTCACACGACCAAGGAGTGATACTAACTTTTTATAGGGATTTCTTTGTTAAATTGTTTCTAAATTATGAAAGTAAAATAAAACTGGATATGGAAAAGCAAATAGAAAAAGGGAAAAGCTAATAATTGAACCCAGCCATCTATATTTTCATCTCTTCCAATGAGATAATGAAATTAAACAGCTGCTAAAGAGTCTTTTACGTGCTTATTTAAAATACACAAATGTATAGAACATGTTTGCTATTTGTTTTTAAAAATCAGCTCATAATACACACATTACTATGAAACTGATTTTTCTCACCTAATAAAACATCATGGATATCCTTCTTGAGTCATTAGATGTAGATCTAACACAATGTTGTTTATAAAGTGCATAATACTCTGTATTATACATGTCTCATGAAGTGTTCCCCAATTTACTAATATTCAGGTTTTTTCCCAGTAATTCTTTAACTTCAACAAAAAAGTGAGATTTTTGTATACTGATACTTCCAAATAAGGGATTGCTGAGTGGCAGTAAAGTTACATTTTTCTCTTTAATAAATATTGCCAGATTACTACCACCAGCAATGTATGAGTGTCCTTGTTTCCTACCATCATCATTACCAGAACTAGGTGTTATCATTTCCTTTGATTTTTACTATTCAATAGGTGAAACACTTCTTATTGGTATTTTAATTTGTATTTTCCCCTGTGAACTTTTAATATTGAGTCAATTTTACTACTGAACAACATTTTATCATATTTCCCTAAATTAGGATTTCTCATTCACTGCACTATTTACTTTGGGCCAGACTATTCTTCATTCTTGGGGGTTGTTTTGCACATTGATAAGATTAGCGGCATTCCTGGCCTTTTACATACTAGATGCCAGTAGCAGCGCCCCCTTTGCTTTTGACCACAAAAATTCCCTAGACATTGCCAGAATCACCCCCAGTTGAAAACCTATTCTAAATGCCTAAACTAGAAAGATTTGATTTTTTAATTTACTTATCAAATTTAATAAATGACATGATTTCAGAAATTACCTCCAAGATATTTTTTCAGAGTTGGTAAATTTAAAAACATGCTCAAAAGCTAAAACTATGAGTAAATACCTGGCATCACCATAGCATGATGAACACCTCTTAGGCACACAATTAATTTAACCCCAGCAAGACTGAGAGAAGAACCTTCTGACAGTCAGGGAAGTGATTCAAAACCTGGACATAATACCATCAATCTCAAAGTCAATAGGAGGCTTTTTTTCATTTCATTCCAACTCCCTGTTTATAACTTGTGAACAAGTAAAGATAAAAAGTGTTGTTAAATATTTAAATATCTATTCATGGCACCAAAATCATCAGTGAGGCTATTTCTTTTGATTATTATGGTATTTTGATTCACTTGTTTTCCTAATCCAAAACAGACAGATGCTTTTCCTAGAATGACCTCTAATTGAGGAAAGACTTTCTCTTTTGTTAGGAAATTAGGTTCCAAAGTATTTTTGCCATTTTAATTCTCTTAGACAAAAAATATACATATTACTTTTCTCAAGAAAAAAACTGGAGCATTCTCTAATTGTTTTTAATACCGAGCAGTTTTTCTCATCCTCAAAAAAGAAACATACCAAGAACAGAAAAAGCATTAGAAAGTTTAATTGAAATTCAATACAAAAGCAAGAACTAATATAACAATTCATTACCTTCACATATTCTTACAAATAAGTTGAATGCTGCCTTATTTGTAACAGTGATAACACAAAGCACATAGACACACAAACCAAGTTTTTTGCAAAGAAACTGACCTTTAGCAATTTGTTCCAGGAGTAATTTTCTGGCTTTAATTAGAGGTCAATACTCCTTTCAGATGAATTCATAAATAATAATAAAAGGGCTACCAGATATTCTCAACAAGCTTTGAGGTTCTAATTCTCTATAACAGCAAAGGGGATGGTTTTAAAAAGGCACAATGCCAGTCATGAGATCTATGTGACTATTGATAAAATACTGACAACAGCACTACAGTGAATCAATCAACAATGCAAAAAGCTGACTGAAACAGAAGCATGGAAACCTGCCCTCCTTTGCAGGACATGGGCTTTTGTGATAAAATCGCATGGCCTGACAAAATCTCTCTGTATTGTCACAACAAAGGCTTCCAACACATGCTAGCTACCCTTAGAGAAGTCTGTTTTTGAATTTAAGATTTTTGGGGCTTAAAACTATTGAAAAAGTTTCCATTGAAAGAGAAAATTAAAGTTTTTAACCATGACTATAATACCCTCTACCCTCTTCCTCCAAAAAGAATTTTTTTCAAATTCCTAAAAATATGTTAGCTGAACATTGTGTCATATGAATTAATGAGTCAATTAATAACATATTTTCACCATATTTCAGCTCATTACTAGCTATTTCAGGTAGCTGTGTTTAATTATAAGTCCAAAAATGAATTGAGAAATATAACTCCCAACTAATGCTAATTGGTTTCCTATTATATGCATTAAAAAAAATCTGTATAAATCACTAGATTCAATAACAAGAAATTGGTGGTGTTTTTCCAATTACAACATCTCTAGCAAAATTCCATTACACAGAAGAAAGTTAAATTATGGTTAATTTATTAATGGATTTGGTATAGCATATACTGAGGCTGTAGATATTGAATCCACTTAAATTGATTTAAATAATCAGAGCTCATAGACTTCAAAAAATTAAGCTAGCTTTTAGCTAAGAGAATTCAAAATAAAAAATGTGAAGAAAGTAATCAGACAAGTTATGGCTCACCAATTCACTGACGTACTTGAGACAATCACATGGCTTTGGGAAATAACCTAGCCTGCCAGAGCCGCCTTCTGTTGCCTGCATTTAGGAGTGCTTATCTCTGTCCAACACAACTGGAGATCTGATTTAATCATTCTAAAGTGGTGGACCAAAACGAGAAGGTCAGACAGGCTCTTAGATTTGGACATTTTTCTTAAGTAGGAAGGATTGACATTTTGTGGCCAACTCTGCTTTTTTCATTTCTAATATCTGTAATCCAGTCCCAAGGAAATTCAAAATGCCTGTTATTAGGATGAAATTGAGTATTAAACAGATTAATGTTATTTGTTCCTAAGAAAAATTGTCATTATTGGTATATCCATGTGGTCTATTTTACAATATTTAAGTGGCTTCTTAATGTATTTTACTCATAAAGAGAAATTGTGATATGTCAAAAAATTAAATGCAAATTGCACATAAGTCAAGTCATGGAGAGAGATGAACAAGTACACTATTATTTTTTTGTCAGTGACAGATTTAAATAATTAGCACTTAAAATACTGATTTTAATTTCAAGCATGTCATTCTGAATCTCATTCCGCTATATATGGTCTTGCCTAGGATTTATTCAATTGTAATTAATTATTTAAATATTTTTAAATGTATATATATATATATATATGTATATGCTTCCTGAGGTCTGTCTCTGTCTTATTTATGGCTTCATTCCCAGGGCCAAGCACAGTGCTTGCACATAGTAGGAACTTGCTGAGTTCTTACTTTCCAATCAAGAGACAGAGATTAGCATAATGTATAAAACACATGCTCCAACACTATGCTGTCTACAAGAGACTCACTTGAGATACAAAAACACAAACAGGTTGAAAGGGAAAGCATGGAAAAAGATACCCCATGCAAACAGTAACCAAATGAGAACAGAGGTGCTATAATATTATCAGACAATATAGTCTTTAAATCAAAAAAAGATTGTAGGAGACAAAGAAGGACACTATATATTAATAAGAGCTTCAATACAGCAAAAAGATATAATAATATAAACATTTATGTACCTAATGACAGACCATTGAAATATATGAAGCAAAAACTGACATATTTGAAGGTAGAAATAGGCAGTTCCACAATAATAGTTTGAGCTTTCAATACCCCATTCACAATAATGGATAGAGCAACCAGACAGAAGATAAGTGAGGAAACAAAGGGCTTACACAACACAATAAGCCAACTAGATCTAATAAACATACACAGACCATAATACCCAACAAGAGAATATACATTCTTCTCAAATGTATATGGAACATATTCTGAGATAAACCATATGGTAGCCCACAAATTCAGTCTCAAAAGATAGGCAAATAGATAGGTAGATACATAAATAGATATCATACAAAGTATCTTCTCTGAGAACAATAGATGAAATGAGAAATCAATAACAAAGGAAACTGAAAAATTCACAAAATTTTAGAAACTAAATATCCCAATTTGTATAATCAATAAAGAAATCGTAATGGAAAATACTTGAAGATGAATGAAAATGAAAACACAACATACCAAAATCTATGGATTGCAGCAAAAATAGTACTAAGGGTAAATTCATTAAAAAACAAGAAAGAGCCTTAGTCAAAAATTTAACTTTACAACTTAAAGAACTAGAAAAAGAAGAACAAATTAAACTCAAAGCTAACAGATGGAAGGAAATAATAAATATTAAAGCAGAGATACATGAAACAGAGAAAGAGGAAAATACAGAAAATACCAATGAAAATAAAAATTATTTCAAAAGATCAAAAATTAATTGACAAACCTTTAGCTAGATAGACTAAGAAAAAAGAGAGAAGACTCAAATTACTAAAACCAGAAATGAAAATGGGGGATATTCCATAGAAATCAAAAGGATTATCAGAGTGCTATGAACAATACCAATATATTGGATAGCCTAGATAATAATGGACAAATTCCTAGAACACACAAAGCTAACCAAGACTAAATCATGAAGAAGTAGAAAATCTAAATAGATATATAACTAGTTAGGACATTGAATTAGTAATAGAAAATTTCCCAGCAAAGAAAAGCCCTAGACTTGTTGATTTCATGGTGAATTTAAAGAAAATTTAGAGAAGAATTAATCCATTCTCAAATTTTTTCAAAAATAATTGAAGAAGAGCAAATTCCCCTTAACTCATTCCATGAAAACAGTATTACCCTGATACCAAAGACAGACTAACTCACTACAAGAAAACTATAGAACAGTATCTCTTATGAACACTGATGCAAAAATAACAAAATATTAACAAACTGAATTCAGCAGCATATCAAATGGATTATAACCAAGACCAAATGGGAATTGTTCCTGGAATGCAAGGATGGTGCAACATACCAAAATAAATCAATGTAATACACCATACCAATAACATGAAGGGGGAAAAAAAAACCCATGATAATGTCAATTGATGCAGAAAAAGAATTTGGAAAACTTTAACACCCTTTCATGATAAAACTTGCAACATACTAGGGATAGAAGAAAATTACGTCAATAACAAAAGCCATATATGAGCATGAACATCATACTCAATGTTAAAAGATGGAAAGCTTTTCCTTTAAGGACAGAAATAAGGCAAGGATGCATGCTTTCCCCACTTGTATTCAGCAAAAAATGAACAAACAAAAAACCAGAAGTTTTAGCCAGAGCAATTAGGTAAGAAAAACAAATAAAGGCTTCCAAATTGGAAAGAAGTAAGATGATCTCTGTTTATAGATAATATAATCTTATGATCTTACATGTAGAAAACACTAATGATGCAATGAAAAACTGTAACAACTAATAAATAAATTCAGCAAAGCAGAATACAAAGTCAACACACAAAATCAGTTGCATTTCTATACACTAACAATGAACAATCTGAAAAGGAAATTACAGAAATCATTCCATTTACAATGACATAAAAAAATAATAAAACACTAAGGAATTCACAGAGGAGGTAGAAGACTTGTAGAATGAAAACCAGAAAACATTGCTGAAAGAAATTAAAGAAGATATCAATAAATGGAAACACACCCTATGTTCATGTAATAGAATACTCAATATCATTAGGATATCAAGATATCAGTATTGCCCAAAGCAATGTACAGATTCAATACGATCCCTACCAAAATTCCAATGATGTTTTTTGCATAAATAGAAGAACACAAACTAAAATGTATATGATATCTCAAGGGACCCATGATAGCCCAAACAATCTTGAAAAAGAACAAAACTGCAGGACTCACACTTCCTGATTTCAAAACTTACTACAAAGCTACAGTATCAAAACAGTATGGCACTGGCATAAAGATAGACTCTAAACCAATGGAACAGAATAGAGACCTCATAAATAAACCCTCCCATAAAAGACAAGTGATTTTTGACAAGGTTGTCAATACAATTCCATGGAAGACATTTCTTTAAAAAATGGTCCTGGAAAAAGTGAATATCCACATGCAAAAAGTGAACTTGGACCCTTATCTAATACCACATACAAAAATTAACTCAAAACAGATCAAGTGCCCAAGTACAAGACTTAAAATGATGAAACTCTGAGAAGAAAACAAAGGACAAAGCTTCACAGCACTGGATATGACAATGATTCCTTGCATATGACACCTAAAGCATAGGCAACAAAAGAAAAAAATAGACAAATTAGACTTTATGAAAAATTTTAAATGTTGTGCATCAAAAGGCATGATCAAAGGAGTAAAAAGCAAGCCACAGAATGGGAGAAAATATTTGCAAATCATTTATCTGAAAAGGGATTAATATCCAGAACATATAGAGATCTCTTAAAACTCAACAACTAAAAACAACCAACCAGATTTAAAACTGGGCAAAGGATTTGAATAGACATTTTTCTGAAGAAGATACAGAAACCACAAATATACACATGAAAAGATGCTCTAATCATTAGAGAAATTCAAGTCAAAACTACAATGAGATCCCACTTCACACCCATTAAGATTGTTACTGTCAAAAAAATAGAGAACAAGTGCTGGAAAGGATGTAGAGAAATTGGAATCCTTGTATATTGTTGGGGGGAATGTAAAATGGTATAGCCACTGGAAAACATTCATTTCCTCAAAAAATTAAGAATAAAATTAC